TGTTTAATTACAGTATTGACGTTCATCCGGCTCTAAGAAACACTAATGATTCAACGTGTGCGGCATTCTGAGACATTGGGATAATTGCATCTATCTTTAAGAAAATTATATTTAAAAATCTCTCTTCGACATTGTTTAACTATTGTAACTATTATAATTTGCTAATGACCTACTCATCTATATTTCCGTCCTGAACTGTAATTGTTCTCTATATCAATAGCCAATATTCCATAAAATATAAATGAGTGAATCTACAAACCAATGCTTCACTCTTAGAAGAAAAGGTTCTATTTAGAACCAGAAATGGTTCCATCCCCCGCTTCATATGGAACTCCAAAATGGTTCTATATAGAACCATTTTTTTTTGGTAAAAGGTTCTATTGGCGATGTATGGAACCCCAGGGTTCTATATAGAACCCAGAGGAACCCTGGAAGAGTGTATAGAACCTTTTAGGGGTTCCAAATACGTAGCGCTGATAGAACCTTTTAAGCTTCTGTATAGAACCTTTTCTTCTAAGAGTGTTCCGTAATGCGATTCTGTGACGCTTTTGACTTTTTGAAATCGAAATCGTGACATGAAAAGTCAATATTAGGACATAAAAGGATGAGAAGTTGAAATGATCACAAACTAAAGTCAAAATTATGACAAAAAAAAAATACCTAAGGCATATTTGGGTTGAAAAGTCATAATTGTGACAAAAAAAGTCAAAATGAATACTATGTCAAATTTATGAGACGAAAAGTCGAAATTACGAGATGAAAAGTTGAATATGGCTTAATAAGTCATTATTATAAAAAGTCGAAATTATGGCATAAAACATCAAGATGAAAAGTCAAAATAATTACATAAATAGAAATTATGACAAAAAGTCCAGATGAAAAATCCAACACTATCTCACAACCAATTCGTACGAATTTGACGCATGATTAAAAAGTGTCTAATTCGTACTAATTCGTACGATTTGTCTAAACCCACATGATGGTTAGGTTGATTTTGCTGAATTCATACGAATTGGCTAATTCGTAAAATATGTACGATTTAGCAAAATCGTATTAATTCGTACGAGTGAGGTCGTATGAATTGTTACGAATTAGTCACTTTTTAATCATTCGTCGAATTCGTACGACTTGGTCATGAGATCGGGTTGGAAAAATCACAATTATGACATAAAAAGTTAAAATTATGCAATGAAAGGTTGAAATTCTGGCTTAATGGGGACAAAAAAAGTCAAAATCGTGACATGAAAAGTCAATATTAGGACATAAAAGGATGAGAAGTTGAAATGATCACAAACTAAAGTCAAAATTATGACAAAAAAAAAATACCTATGGCATATTTGGGTTGAAAAGTCATAATTGTGACAAAAAAAGTCAAAATGAATACTATGTCAAATTTATGAGATGAAAAGTCGAAATTATGAGATGAAAAGTTGAATATGGCTTAATAAGTCATTATTATAAAAAGTCGAAATGATGGCATAAAACATCAAGATGAAAAGTCAAAATAATTACATAAATAGAAATTATGACAAAAAGTCCAGATGAAAAATCCAACACTATCTCACAACCAATTCGTACGAATTTGACGCATGATTAAAAAGTGTCTAATTCGTACGATTTGTCTAAACCCACATGATGGTTAGGTTGAGGGGCGGGGTCAGGGGTAGGTCATTCGTACGAATTCATAGGAATTGGCTAATTCGTAAAATATGTACGATTTAGCAAAATCGTATTAATTCGTACGAGTATGAATTGTTACGAATTAGTCACTTTTTAATCATTCGTCGAATTCGTACGACTTGGTCATGAGATCGGGTTGGAAAAATCACAATTATGACATAAAAAGTTAAAATTATGCAATGAAAGGTTGAAATTCTGGCTTAATGGGGACAAAAAAGTCAAAATCGTGACATGAAAAGTCAAAATTAGGACATAAAAAGGATAAAAAGTTGAAATGATCACAAACTAAAGTCAAAATTATGACAAAAAGACATACCTGTGGCATATTTGGGTTGAAAACTGATAATTATGACAAAAAAAAGTCAAAATGAATACTATGTCAAATTTATGAGATGAAAAGTCGAAATTATGAGATGAAAAGTTGAATATGGCTTAATAAGTCATTATTATAAAAAGTCGAAATTATGGCATAAAACGTCAAGATGAAAAGTCAAAATAATTACATTAATATAAATTATGACAAAAAAAATCACAATTATGACATAAAAAGTTAAAATTATGCAATGAAAGGTTGAAATTCTGGCTTAATGGGGACAAAAATGTCAAAATCGTGACATGAAAAGTCAAAATTAGGACATAAAAAGGATAAAAAGTTGAAATGATCACAAACTAAAGTCAAAATTATGACAAAAAGACATACCTGTGGCATATTTGGGTTGAAAACTGATAATTATGACAAAAAAAGTCAAAATGAATACTGTCAAATTTATGAGATGAAAAGTCGAAATTATGAGATGAAAAGTTGAATATGGCTTAATAAGTCATTATTATAAAAAGTCGAAATTATGGCATAAAACGTCAAGATGAAAAGTCAAAATAATTACATTAATATAAATTATGACAAAAAAAATCACAATTATGACATAAAAAGTTAAAATTATGCAATGAAAGGTTGAAATTCTGGCTTAATGGGGACAAAAATGTCAAAATCGTGACATGAAAAGTCAAAATTAGGACATAAAAAGGACAAAAAGTTGAAATGATCACAAACTAAAGTCAAAATTATGACAAAAAGTCATACCTGTGGCATATTTGGGTTGAAAAGTGATAATTATGACAAAAAACGTCAAAATGAATACTATGTCAAATTTATGAGATGAAAAGTTGAATATGGCTTAATAAGTCATTATTATAAAAAGTCGAAATTATGGCATAAAACGTCAAGATGAAAAGTCAAAATAATTACATTAATATAAATTATGACAAAAAATCACAATTATGACATAAAAAGTTAAAATTATGCAATGAAAGGTTGAAATTCTGGCTTAATGGGGACAAAAAAGTCAAAATCGTGACATGAAAAGTCAAAATTAGGACATAAAAAGGACAAAAAGTTGAAATGATCACAAACTAAAGTCAAAATTATGACAAAAAGACATACCTGTGGCATATTTGGGTTGAAAACTGATAATTATGACAAAAAAAAGTCAAAATGAATACTATGTCAAATTTATGAGATGAAAAGTCGAAATTATGAGATGAAAAGTTGAATATGGCTTAATAAGTCATTATTATAAAAAGTCGAAATTATGGCATAAAACGTCAAGATGAAAAGTCAAAATAATTACATTAATATAAATTATGGCAAAAAATCACAATTATGACATAAAAAGTTAAAATTATGCAATGAAAGGTTGAAATTCTGGCTTAATGGGGACATGAAAAGTCAAAATTAGGACATAAAAAGGACAAAAAGTTGAAATGATCACAAACTAAAGTCAAAATTATGACAAAAAGTTAAAAATTCTGACTAAAAGCATCCAAAGCATGATTTTTTGTTATGTGCTTTCCAGAGATCCCACTCTTTAATAAAGTGGCTTCAGGAAAAAAACCCTGGTTTGCGTGACTCACTGCTAATTGCTCTGAGAACAGGACCGCCAGTCTGCCAAACACACTTTACCTGCCAGCGGATCGGAACCAGGCTGTTTGCCAACCTCTCCCTCCGAGACTGCAAATATACAACAACACATCAGTGAGTAAATCCAATCAGCTCATCGCGCTCAACACCCTTTCAAAAGCTCATTTGCTGCTAATGAGGATCCTGCGGCACAATGACTCGCTTGACACCAGAGATCGGATGTGTAAGTTCTTATTCGGTTCAATCCCAATCGATACCTCCTCCACATTATCAAACACTGCAGACAATGCACTAATGTTTTCCATTTAAAGATTTAAAAACTATGATTTTTCTTTATGAAATTATGACTCAAGTCGAAATTCTGGCGTGAAAGGTCATAATTATGGAAAAAAAAGTCAAAATTGTCAAAAAATAATCAAAAAGTCAAAATTTGTTCATCTCTCAATCAGCATTGAATTGCATTGCATCAAACTAGAGATTTGATCATAAAACTGTATTTTATTTTTATTATTATGATTTTTTTATTCTAAACTGTTTTAATTATTCTGACTTCTTTAATTTCTTCCATGTAAAGCACTTTGAATTGCCACTGTGTATGAAATGTGCTATATAAATAAACTTGCCTTGCCTTGCCTAAGCATTAAATATCAGCAAAGGCTTTTCTGGATTAGATCCTGAGGAAATAGTGGCAAATTAATCTACACTCTTAGAAAAAAGAGTTCTATATATGAAGAGTTCAGATGCAAAAGCCTCTAAATGCCATTTGAAATTTTCTTCTAAAATGACCATTTTTATCAAGCTTGTATATTTAAGTTCAGTGATTTCACTTAAATAACAATTAATAGGTAATTATCATTGCCATTTAAGTGAAATTACTGAACTTAAATATACAAGCTTGATAAAAATGATCATTTTAGAAGAAAATTTCAAATGGCACTTAGAGGCTTTTGCATCTGAACTCTTCATATGTAGCATAGGGTTCTTTACTCAACTGCAAAGGACCTTTTATGCCAAAAAAAAAAAAATGACAAGAAAGAACCCCTTTGGCACAAAGGTTATTTATAGGCTATTATTCATTCATATATTATTCTGCAATATTTTGTAGTTGTAATTAAATTATTGTTTATTAAACTGTTTTAGTAACTTAATATCGCATTTTAATCATGCAGATTTTTGACACCCCTGAAAAACTGAAATGACACCCCTCGTCTGATATTGATTAATTACATTTTTTAACCCCCATATCTTGAATTTTGTGATCAGTCCCATGCATTCTATTCTAGGGGTTCCAAATACGTAGCGCTTTAGAACCTTTAAAGGTTCTATATAGAACCTTTTCTTCTAAGATTAGGCAGATCCGCGTGTGTGAAGTGTGTTTGTGTCTGCTGTGGCCGTGACATACCTCTCTAATGGGCCGTCCTGCCGTTTGTCCCCAGGAGGGGCATCAGGTGTGTGTGCCGTAAGTGAAGGCTATCTCCACGACACGCTTCCGCTGCTGAAGAAATTGGATCACTCATCCCTGTCTTATCGGTTCGGCCTTCCTCGTCCTCTCTCTCTTTAGTGATGAATAACGGGCCGCTGCGTGCAGTTCTGCTGTGTGTGGGGTCTGAAAAGAGCATGTGATGGTATGAGAAATGAATGAGATGTTATCTGATCCCTCAAGTCATTCCTGTGCCGAAACCCAATCTATGTTCCTCAAACTCACATCTAGAATCAAAGAGTTCATACATGCACTCTAAAAAATGCTGGGTTGTTTTAACCCAATTTTGGGTCAAATATGGACAAACCCAAAATGCTGGGTTAAAAATGTAATGTAAAAATTTAACCCAACGGCTGGGTTAGTCCATATTTGACCCAAAGTTGGGTTAAAACAACCCAGCATTTTTTAGAGTGTGCGCACATGGATTGAATTGGCCACAACCAGTGTTGGGTAAGTTACTCTAAAAAAGTAATTAATTACTAGTTACCAATTACCTCTTCAGCAGTGTAATTAGATTACTAATTACTCTCTCTTAAAAGTATCGAATTACTTTTAATTACTAATTACTTTCAAAATCCCAGCTGAATAATACAAGGATAGACATGAATCTGTTTTAATTCTTTCAAATAAATACTATAAAATTGCATGAATTATCCTTAAACTGACGGTTACATTATTAAAAACATACTTTTTAACATTTTGATGTTAAACCCACTATTGTTTTATGTCTGATCTCATGACATTTCACACTTTTTTCATATATATTTTACAATAATTCAGTACGAGTGCGGTCGTACGATTTAGACGCCTCATAAAACGCATACGAATCGCTGTGAGATCGGATTGATCTATACACAGTATTTACCTCAATTACATCAGAAGTAACTGTAATTAAATTACAGGTAAATGAAGAGTAATTCCCTACTTTACATTTTCAAGGGAAAAGTCATTAAATTACAGTAACTAATTACTTAGTAATTAGTTACACCCAATACTGGCCATAACACAGGTCAAGTTTAATCTCATCCTTCCCTCGGGTCATTTTGACCCGGAAATCGTTTCAATTCATCGTTGCAATTGAACCATGAATAGGCTACACTTTTTTTTTTAATTGATTTGAGGAGTTTTGTGAAAAAAGTAACAAATCAATTTGACACTCATGAAGGGAATGCTTCATAGAAAAACCTAAAAATGTGCAAAATTCAAGCTAAAAATGCTTAGACTTTACCAAACAATTATTCTATAATGTGTATCTGATCTATCATTATGTGTATCTGAATACAGAAACTGACTTTAGGAGACGGGGCGTACTTCTGCAAAAACGTGCGCAATGCACCTTTAAATGACAAAATTAAAAAAAAAAATTATCAAATAATTTAAATGGTAAATGGACTGCATTTATATAGCGCTTTCATAGACCTAATGGCCACCAAAGCGGAAATAAAGGAAAATTAAAAATAAAACAAAAAAAATCTTCAAATTACATAAAAAATAGAAAAAAATATGATAAAAATGAAATAAAATAGGCTTTCTGGACAAAAAAACAAATTAATTTTAGGGCTTTGGGTCATTTTGACCCACGAGGGAAGGATGAGGGTTACATTGAACTTGAAATGAGAGGTAGAGGAATTTACTGAAATGTAGTTCAACAGGAAATGAATTCTGGGAAATGAAAAAAATTGGTGATTGAACCATTTTCACAACAAACTTCCAAAGAAGGCATTTAAAGTCTTGATAAAATGGGTCTTTTTTGTTGTTAAAAAATCAGAGTTGGTGTTTAATATGTTAAATATAAATATAAATATGATGTTAAATATAAATATGTCAATTACTTTGTCACTTTCTGAATTTCTAACTGATTGTTACCTATATCTGTCAGGTGATGTCAGGTGTGTAAAAAAGGTTGAACAGTGAGATTACAAACGTAACATTTTTCAGATAGTGCTCAGCTTTTCAATAAAAGAAACTATTTTGATTTTCTCAGCAAGTTAGCAGCAGTGTAGCGAGACAAAATGCCACATGTTGTTTTTGTCGCATTGTCTTGCACACGAGTGAACCGAGCAAACTCTCAAATACTCCCTCCTCCATCCTTCTCTCGCTCTCGAAAGCATCACAGTGCGATCCGATTCATTTCAGCAAATCAAACCACTTCATTTGAGTTATCACTCAGTAATGTTCCCAGAAGCCCCTGCGTGACGTTTCACATCGATTTGAACTCGCATTTTGAACGGATGATGTCAATTGTAGAGGACTGTCATTCTCATCTAATGTTTCCGACTAGAGTTGAAAGCTGGCGGGGAAATTAGGAGGTGCATTAAAAATGACTTCAGCTGCTTTACTCGTGTGTAATTACGAAGAGTTTGATGTATGATGAAAAAAGCCACTGCATCTGAAGTTAGAGTTGGGTTTCAATGAACCCTTATAATGTGATTGGCTGCAGATCAAGGAGTTATTATGCTCATAATTACAGTGATCATAATCAGAGTAAGTGTGTCTAGTTCTGCAGTTTTGATAAGTCTACACTGTAAAATGATTTTTCGAAGATTATTGGAGTATGTTTTACAAGAAAACAGTATTTCAGTATTTCTTGCTCTATATATATATATATATGCACTCACCAAAAGGATTACTAGGAACACCTGTTCAATTTCTCATTACAATTATCTCAAAATATAATTATCTCCTCTGATAATATATAATTATTATTTTATTAAATTTGTATTTATAAATAATTATAAAAATTATTACATTTTAATATATATATATATATATGTATTATTTATAATAATTTTTAAAATAATTTCTATATATATATATATATATATATATATATATATATATATATATGAAGAGTTCAGATGCAAAAGCCTCTAAGTGCCGTTTGAAATTTTCTTCTAGAATGATCATTTTTATCAAGCTTGAATATTTAAGTTCAGTGATTTCACTTAAATGGCAATGATAATTACCTATTAATTGTTATTTAAGTGAAATTACTGAACTTAAATATACAAGTTTGATAAAAATCATCATTAAAGGAGAAAATTTCAAATGGCACTTAGAGGCTTTTGCATCTGAACTCTTCATATATACATATACATTAATACGCTATATATACACATTAATACGATGTTTGTTCAGAGTTAACTGGTCTTTAATAATGTTCTCAGAACGATAGCACAAAGTGTTATTATACATTGGAACATTTTTCTTTCTAAAACCATTTAGTTGGACGTTCGTCTAACATTTTAAAATGTTACAACTTGTTTCAGAGAACATTCAAATGTAACGATTCCGTTTACAAAATGATAAAAATGGAATGTTCATGTAACCAAAGACTTTTAAAAAACTGGACATTCAAAATGTTTAGAGAATGCTTTCAGAACATACTGTATCCCACAATGCAATGCACTCTCTATTGCCAGTGTGATGAATGAACTGGTGATTATTAGTGTGCAAATTGATAGCAGTTTGATCAAATGATGAACGTTTTGCATGATGCATTGTGGCTTACAGTATTTTCATGTATCAGGTCACCTGGTACACTATACACAATCCTCCTCTCAGATCAGTGTCTCGTCATGAGGATCCTCCTGCGGCATTCTGGGAATGAATCATCATGCTGAGATATCATGTATCAGGTATTGTTCTTAAACGCAGCCCAGCTTGTGAGTGCAGTGAGTGCGTGTTCCTGTCTCTCTCTGTGGGAAGCGGAATTACCTGAGCTTCAGGAACCAGGACACACTCAACAACACTGAAGTGTGTGTGTGTGTGTGCGAGAGATTTGTTATTGTGATACTGGATGCAATACGCAATAAAGTAGAGCTGGGTAATTTATAGCTCAATAATTTTATATATATTTTATATTTTATATATATATATTTTATATATATATATATATATATATTATATATATATATATATATATATATATATATATTAATTATTATATTTTTAAGTTACAAAAAACGTATAAACCATTACACAATAACAACAATAATAAATATTCTACATTTTAATAAAATAAAAGTAATATTTTTAATTTACACAAATACAATACAGAAGAGCCGGGCAATTTATAGCTAAAAAAAGTTACATAAAAAATGTATACACAATTACGCAATAATAATAAAATATTATAAAGAGTAATAAAACAAATAAATATTTTAGGTACTAAAAATAAATGTAAGTTACATAAAATATTAAATAAACCATTATGCAATAATTATAATACATCTAAAAATATATTTGACAATATGCTATTATAACAATAATGATAATAATTAGTATTATTAACTATATTTTTCTAAGCAATGCAAAAATGCCATAATAAAACAACACCAACTATGTTGTATCAACTAGTTTTTATTTTTATATAGCTAACATTTTAGCTTAAAATAATACTAATTGTTGTTGCTATTTTTGTGTATTTTAATAGCTTCATAATTATAATAATTAATTGCATTATTTCTTTGAATCTTTATCTGAAAATTCCTTGAAACGTGTGTGATTCGTTGGTTGGGAGTGTGTCTACACTATGGTTCATTCAACACTGTCCAGGTAAGCGAGCTGTTCTCAGGGTCGAGCAGTGTGTGTGTGTGTCGCTGTATTCCCACACACACTGTCTCTGACAGCAGGTACAGCCTGACCTCACAGCTGAAGCATCCGGGGCGGTTACCAAGGGAACAGATGCTGAGAACAACTGACAACACAGCTGGATGACACACGGCGCGTGCTGCGAGGAAAAGAGGGAGGGGTTTAGGGCCGCGCGCGCGCGTGTGTGTGTGATGAATATTTCAAGAGAACAAAACGACTGTGGAATTATAAATGTGGCTCAATGAAATTATGGTGTCAAATCATGCCAACACATGATCCTGGAGAACGAGTGTGTGTGTGCAAGTTGCATTTAAATTTATGTAAATTGCTTGCAAAATATCACACAACAGTTCGTCAATAAAGCAGCATATCCGTCCCACGTGTTCTAAAGAACAAAATCATAATTTCTCGGAAGCTTTTTAATGCACATCTAGAAATGTTTTTACAAAAGAAAATGTATCTATCCACCTCAAGTGAACATACGCTTATATTTTACGCTCATCTTTCCAACAATATTTCCCAAAAGGTGCATAAAAAGCCATGGATAGCAATTGTTTTTTCAAAGAAACATTTCCAACAAAGAGTTAGAAATGTTATCTTGGTGACTAACTGAAATAAAATTATTATATTTTATTAATATTAACAATTTTAGTTTTGTTTGTTTAGTTAAGAATAACAACTGCAGCACTCACACACACTCTCTAGAGATGGTCTGTGTTTGCGGTGTAGTTTCTGTCTATTCACCGTCCGTCCTAATGGACACCCCGGCGCTGATAGACAGATGGAGAAGGGAAGTGTAGTCCAGTAGCTCTGGGTGTCTGTGAGTGTCGTGTAACCACACATTTACTCTGAAAGAGAGAGCATCGCTCTTCAACAACAGCTGGCTGGGCGACGCGGCGCTACTAAACCGCTGATTAAATGAATTTCTGCAGTTCTTTCCATCTGCTCACAATTTTAATCTCGATGAAACAATCTTGTTTTCTCAACATGATTTATGACATATCTTTCTTTTTTTTTAAATCATTTTATTTATTTTTTTTCCCCTGAGAGCCAATAATGTCTTTATTGCAAAACACTTTCGTTTTTCATTGGAACACCTGTGATTGTTTGTGATTGGTCTCCTCTGCTCTGATTGGTCACATGACTCAGCCTGCTGCTGTGATTGGTCTACTAACTCTTCCGGTCTCAGCTAAGACTGCAAATTTGTTATTGTTACATTGGAATGTAACAGAAAGTGAGACTGGAATAATTTTGTCAGTTCGGAATCGATTCTTTTGTTTTGCTTTATTTTTAGTTTTATACAGTGTTGCGTGTAATTACTAAGTAGTTAGTTACTGTAATTTAATGACTTTTCCATTGAAAATGTAAAGTAAGGCATTACTCTACATTTACCTGTAATTTAATTACAGTTATTTCTTGAGGTAAATACTGTGTATGGATCAATCCGATCTCACAGCGATTCGTATGCATTTTATGAGGCGTCTAAATCGTACGGCCGCACTCGTACTGAATTATTGTAAAATATGTATGAAAAAAGTGTGAAATGTAATGAGATCAGACATCAAAATGTATTGTCTCATGTTAAAAAGTATGTTTTTATAATGTAAGCTTCTCCACCTTGGTCAGTTTAAAGATAATTCATGCAATTTTATAGTATTTATTTGAAAGAATTAAAACAGATTCATGTCTATCCTTGTATTATTCAGCTGGGATTTTGAAAGTAATTAGTATTTTAAGTAAATAAATACTTTTTAAAGAGAGTAATTAGTACAGTAATCTAATTACACTGTTGAAGAGGTAATTAGTGACTAGTAATTAGCTACTTTTTTTTAGAGTAACTTACCCAACACTGGTTTTATAGGCCTTTTCAATTCACAAAGAGTTTTATTACACTCATTTTGTGTAGCTATTTTGTAAGTTTTAGTTTCAGTACTTCAACTAAACAAAAATGAATATTGCCTTGGCAACTAGAAGAAATAAAATAAGTTAATGTTTTAGAGTAAAACATTTTTTTAATAGTTTAATTTGTGCGTGCACTTGTGCGTGCTTGTGTGTCAAACCTCTGTTCTCCAGGGGGCGCTAGAGTTTAGTGGACAAACCTTTTTTTTTTCCATGCTCTATAATTTGTGCCATTCATTTATTTATTCATGTTTTTATGGAAAGTTTTCAAACCATTACACATTTCCAGACAGTAGAGTTTGAAAGGCTCGTTGTAAACCCTGTTATCAGTGTTTTCTGCCTGTGTGCAGATGATAATCTGATGCTTTGCTGAACCTGTTATCATTCTGACAAAGCAATGAAAGAAATGTTGCCTACAGCTCGTCCCTGAGCGGCTTCAAATTACTCAATCTGTCTGTTGGATCCTCTGAAGTGCGATTTGTTGAAGTGTCATGCTGTTGCTCATGGAATCCTTCTGGCCGTAGTGGAATAATGTTTTCACTGACAAAAGTGTGCCGCTTCTGCCATTTGTACAATGGCACTACCATGTTTTTTTTTTGTACATGTACCAAGGTAGTAGCATGGTATTATGTTAAGTGTCACGCATCTGGATGGAGCAACAATTTGAATTTTAATATGAAGAAAAGATTTAGGCTATACACTGAAAAAAAAAACACCTGGTGTAGGTGATTTACTTTAAAAACATTTTCACTCAAAAGTTGCTGGTATATTTCACAAATAATCAAAAAGAAAGGGCAAGTAACACTTTGAAATACATTTTGAAGTAGAATATCTCGTTTTATGTTATAGCACCGTTCTGCAAACTCAAGGTCGCATTTACAATATTAAGACAAATAAACAAAACAAATAAACCGAGAGAGATAACATGATACATTTTTGCAGCAATGTAATTGGATTACTTTTAGATTACTTCTGAACTCTTTTCTCACATTCATTTGAATAGGAGAATCTTTCCTGTGTGTAAAATGTACTCCAATAATCAATAAGCTCCAAAGAAATCAAGAAAAATACATACAACATTCAGTGCTGATTATAACCATAATTAGATTCCAAAAATTACCTACTTGCAATTAGATTATATTACATTTTAAAATACTCATAATCAGATTAGTGTTGATTACATGATTGGAGATTGAGTAGATGTTTTTCACACAATGACACAATACTGTTTTGTGCGCGTTTCATAGTCTCGCAATTGCGGCTATTTCTCAAAATTGCGACTTTATATCTTGCAATTGCAACTTTATTTCTCAGAATTGCGACTTTATATCTCAGAATTGCAAATTTATTTCTCATAATTGTGACTTTATATCTCGCAATTGCGACTTTATTTCTCATAATTGCGACTTTATATCTCACAATTGCGACTTTATTTCTCAGAATTGCAACTCCATATCTTGCAATTGCGAATTTTTATTCTCATAATTGCGACTTTATATCTCAGAATTGCGACTTTATTTCTCATAATTGCATCTCTATATCTCGCAATTGCGACTTTATGAGAAATAAAGTCGTAATTGCAAGATATAAAGTCGCAATTATGAAAAATAAAGTCGTAATTGCAAGATATAATTGCAACTTTATATCTCGCAATTGCGACTTTATTTCTCACAATTGTGACTTTATATCTTGCAATTGTGACTTTATTTCTCATAATTGCGACTTTATTTCTCATATTTGCAACTCTATATCTCGTAATTGCGACTTTATATCTCAGAATTGCAACTTTATTTCTCACAATTGCGACTTTTTATCTTGCAATTACGACTTTATTTCTCATAATTGCGACTTTATATCTTGCAATTGCGATGTTATTTCTCATAATTGCGACTTTATATCTTCCAATTGCGACTTTATATCTCAGAATTGCGACTTTATATCTCAGAATTATGACTTTATTTCTCATAATTGCAACTTTATATCTTGCAATTGCGACTTTATTTCTCATAATTACGACTTTATATCTCAGAATTGCGACTTTCTTTCTCATAATTGCAACTCCATATCTTGCAATTGCGAATTTTTATTCTCATAATTGCGACTTTATTTCTCATAATTGCATCTCTATATCTCGCAATTGCGACTTTATGAGAAATAAAGTCGTAATTGCAAGATATAAAGTCGCAATTATGAGAAATAAAGTCGTAATTGCAAGATATAAAGTTGCAATTATGAGAAATAGTCGTAATTGCAAGATATAATTGCAACTTTATATCTCGCAATTGTGACTTTATATCTCGCAATTGTGACTTTATATCTTGCAGTTACGACTTTATTTCTCATAATTGCGACTTTATTTCTCATAATTGCGACTTTATTTCTCATAATTGCAACTCTATATCTCGTAATTGCGACTTTATTTCTCATAATTGCGACTTTATTTCTCATAATTGCAACTCTATATCTCGTAATTGCGACTTTATTTCTCATAATTGCGACTTTATTTCTCATAATTGCAACTCTATATCTCGTAATTGCGACTTTATTTTTCATAATTGCGACTTTATATCTTGCAATTGCGACTTTATTTCTCATAATTGCGACTTTATTTCTCATAATTGCAACTCTATATCTCGTAATTGCGACTTTATTTCTCATAATTGCGACTTTATTTCTCACAATTGCGACTTTATATCTTGCAATTACGACTTTATTTCTCATAATTGCAACTCTATATCTCGCAATTGCGACTTTATTTCTCATAATTGCGACTTTATTTCTCATAATTGCGACTTTATATCTCGCAATTGCGACTTTATTTCTCATAATTGCGACTTTATATCTCAGAATTGCGACTTTATTTCTCATAATTGCAACTATCTTGCAATTGCGACTTCTCATAATTCTGACTTGGCAATTTAATCTAAAATCAAAGAAAAAGTGAATCATCCCATTTTGGCATAATAATGCACATAAAATCATTCAATAATTTGAGACAAACGAATTCACTGTGAAATAAACGGGTGGGGTCACACGTGCACGAGCTGATATAAAAAAGCAGTACCTGCGTTTGTCCAGACAGAGGCGCTGATGCTACACATGAGATGCGGGTGGCATGTGGCAGCAGTTCGTCTGGGCCAGATGACCTTGATAAAGCCAAGAGTGAACGAGGAGGAGGCTGAAGGGAGGGGGAGCCTGCGGCGAGAGAGACATAATCCAGCTCAGAGTTGAACATATCGATTCAGAGAAGGAGAGAGAGAGAGGGAGAGTAGAGCTTGTGTTTTAGTCAATGGAAACATGATTCTCTTCCGTATAACACCACGCCCAAGCTCATTCAGTATCCTGCATCATTATTCTCTAGATGTGACAAAAAACATAAATATAGCCAACAGCAATGCCACTTCATGGCCTTCAGCGATTCAAAAGAATAACTTGAAAGATTATATAAGATATGCAGTCGAAGTGAAAGTTTATTTTAGATAATTTATATGAATTTTTAAGAACAAATTCACTTAATACTTAAATGTAATATAATTAATATATTTACTTAATACTTAAAGGGGCTATATGTAATGATTTTTATGTATTAATTGCTTTTTTATTGCAAATGGGTGAAAATCTTGTAACAAAACCTTAAAAAAAAACATGACACATTCCCTGACTTCCTATAAGAAAGACTGATTTTATATGAAGGAATCAGGCTGGTTTCGGCAGGAAAATAAAAGAAAGAATATGTAGTTTACACACCCGAGAGACTCTTCAGTTCAATGAGACGACATGAAAATAATGCTTATACAATGTTCAGGAGGATAATGCCGAAAGAGCCATTCTGTACTACAATATCTATGTGTCATGCAAATAAAAGGGATTGATTCAAACCATAACCAGATTTCTATATTCTATGTATATAGTCTCAAATATAAACCCTTGTTGTTAGCGACACCGGTGGCCGTTAAGTGAACTGCAGTCAGTGTTTAACTGCTGATGCTCGTTGATGGACATCGGAATGGCTCTCTCAGTATTATCCTCCTATTATTCATTCATTTAATGTGTCATTTAATTTAATTTAATTTAATGTGAACGAGAGGAGCAGAACATAGGAAGCCGGGGAATGTCTCGTTTTTAAAAATTTCGTTTTTGGCACACAGTGGCAATAAAAAAGTGATTAATAAATAAACTTACATATAGCCACTTTAAATTAAGACAGTAAATGTCTGAAAAAGGTTGCATGAGATCTCAGTAAATATTGGGCATTTTCCTGTATTATATATATTATAAATAAATAAGCTGCGATTTCTCTTGCCAATGTAACTGGACTGCAGTGCACCAAAAGACACGGCATCACCCGTCACAGCACCTTTTCTGGAGGATCATTGAGGTGTCGAGGGTAATTAGGTGAGTCGGACACAGTCCATTGATTAGACTTAATGACTGACACCGAATGACATTCCAGTAATCATCCCGGGAACCTTCCGGTAACCTCGGAGGTCGGCCTCTAAGTGCTGAGTCTGTTCTTCCCCTCGGGCCTCTATTCTCCGGATCTCCGTTTGATTCGCTCCCGCTGAACTTTAACACATTTTGCTTTCTAGCGAGCAGAACTCTCAGGAATTATGTGTTTGAAGACATTGATTTTTCTAACCCTCATTCCAGTGAGAAACCAGAGAATTTATCGGTTCTCCTATTCACGCGTGTGAATGTAACGGGCTATTAGAATCCGAACAATGGAGGACAGTCTCAGACTTAAGACATTAGCATAAAGTAGTTATCAGGAAAAGACATTAGCTGTGTCTCGAAATGCACAGAGCTGATGTCATTAATGAAGAGAATCGGAAGTATCGGAAGTCATTATATTCAATCAAGCTGTCTACACAAGGTATTTTCCTGCCACTGTGCAATATTTAAAATACAGATGAATAAATAAATCTATTGAGAAGGTCAGATGATTATTAAAATGGGATCATCAGACAAAGGTTGCATGACAAAAACATATTGGATTTCTTGCAAGCTATGGCTGTGTGTTCTTCCATCATTCCTTAATAAAGTGAAATAATACCTAAACAAGCTTGCAAAAAAATACCTTAATAAGTCAAAACATTATATATATATATATATATATATATGTGAAGAGTTCAGATGCAAAAGCCTCTAAGTGCCATTTTAAATTTTCTTCTAAAATGATAATTTTTTATCAAGCTTGTATATTAAAGTTCAGTAATTTCACTTAAATGGCAATGAAGATTACCTATTAATTGTCATTTAAGTGAAATTACTGAACTTAAATAAAGTATACAAGCTTGATAAAAATGGTCATTTTAGAAGAAAATTTCGAATGGCACTTAGAGGCTTTTGCATCTGAACTCTTCATATATATATATATATATATATGTGTCATATTTCAACATTTATATTTTGCCAAAATGTTGACAATATAATGAATTTGTACACTGTATTTACCTAAAGGATTTAGCGATTTATAGTGTTTTATTGTTTTTATATTTTGTATTTTCCTTGTAAAATTTAAACTGCGGTTTCTTTTTAAGGCAGACAATATTAACATCGGTCCAGGGACAATGGATGAAAAATAGCCTTTTGGCTAATTCTAGTATTTGCAGTAATGCTAATTAATGTACACTGTCCCTGTCAAATAAATAAATAATATGGCTGTGCAAAAATTAATTGCGATTAATCGCATCCAAAATAAAAGTCTGTGTTTACATAATATATTTGTGTGTGCTGTATATAATTATTTTGTATATATAAATACCTATGCATGCATGTATATATTTAAGAATTATTTGCGCTTAAATTCTGTATATATATATATATATATAAATACATAATCTATATTATATAAATATTTTATAAATGAATAACACATTTTCTTAAATATATATGCATGTGTGTGTATTTATATATACAAAATAATTATATACAGCACACACAAATATATTATGTAAACACAGACTTTTATTTTGGATGCGATTAATCGCAATTAATTTTTGCACAGCCCTAATAAATAAATATATAAAAAAATGAAGGCAAATTTGATTTCTCATGTCATGACCTCTTTAATTATATTAAGTCCATTTACATTTATTTATTAAGCTGATTCTTTTATCCAAATCAACTCAAGCTACAAGCTATTCGTCTTTAAGATCTTTTAAAACCTTGCAAATAATACTTTTAGTATTCTATTTTCATTTATCTTATGTGATCATTAATAAATGTGCGTTCACACTGATTAAAAATTGTGAAATTGCAGAGTTTTTATTAGTTGTTTTTCCACCGTTACCTGATTTGCTCATTTCATTTCCATCAAGCACCATTGAAAACAATTCCGGCTAAAATCTGACAGTAGGAAGCTCAGACATTGTCTGTGATCATCGCGGTGCCTCAAAACCTCCGTCAGAGGGAAAGAAGAATGAAAGAAACAGAGGCAAGAAGAGAGACAGTACACACTAACTGCCAAGAAGCGTTTGTTTACCTGCCGCCAGGCGCCTCCGATCCGTCCGCTGTGGTTCTTCATGTGCCAGACCGAGACAGCAGCGGGCAAACACACACACACCAAACAGATCAAACACACACGAGCACGGGGCTTTCACTGCTAAACTGATCAGGATAAACATCACTGTATTCTGAATACACTGAAACGGTTATTTCAGCCCGTTCTCATCCCAAGGCATCATATATTGAGGTTTTTGCCAATGCGTCTACATCCATCGCACATGGCACCCTTTAGCGTCAACATGAGACACAGATATATATGGGGCAGAAGGCGCCTCCTAGTGGTCTAACCCTAACACTACCCAAGACCTAAAACTACCCATAACTGAAGCATGTTACACTCTAAAAAATGCTGGGTTGTTTTAACCCAACTTTGGGTCAAATATGGACTAACCCAGCCATTGGGTTAAATTTTTACATTACATTTTTAACCCAACATTTCGGGTTTGTCCATATTTGACCCAAAATTGGGTTAAAACAACCCAGCATTTTTTAGAGTGTATATAGACTCTTAGAAGAAATGGTTCTATTTAGAACCAGAAATGGTTCCATCCCCCGCTTCATATATGGAACTCCAAAATGGTTCTATATAGAACCATTTTTTTTTGTAAAAGGTTCTATTGGCCAAGTATGGAATATATAGAACCCAGAGGAACCCTTTTTTAAGAGTGTATAGAACCTTTTAGGGGTTCCAAATACGTAGCACTGATAGAACCTTTTAAGGTTCTATATAGAACCTTTTCTTCTAAGAGTTATTGATGCTAAAGGATTTGACGCATAGTCAAAAGTGTTAGTATATGACGCCTTGGGATGAGAACGCGTTGTATATTTTTTTATAGAATAGTACACTCTAAAAAATGCTGGGTCGTTTTAACCCAATTTTGGGTCAAATATGGACAAACCCGAAATGTTGGGTTAAAAATGTAATGTAAAAATTTAACCCAACGGCTGGGTTAGTCCATATTTGACCCAAAGTTGGGTTAAAACAACCCAGCATTTTTTAGAGTGAAATAATAAAGTAAACTATAGTTTTGTCAAATTGAATTGGATTGACATATAGAGAAATCACTGGATATTGCTGTTGGTCATTTCTATCACGAAACTAGTTATGAAATGTTAAAGCTACTTTAATTAGATCTTACCTCACACTCTTAACTGAACAGTAAAGCCCCGCCCACTTTGATTTGATTGGCCATCGCAATCATTTCAGTGACGTTTTTGTCATTATAACAACATTAAAAAGTGTTAGGAGCTGGTGTGTGACCTCTATAGTTGGGAACAGCCCCATTTTTACACAATTGGGATGCTGTTTTTAGTCTTGTCTTGCGGTATTATGTACAACACTACAAGCTGTCAACACTGTCGGAAAAAAAGGTACAAAAGCTGTCACTGGGGCGGTACCTTTTCAAAAGGTACACTTTTGTACCTAAAGGGTGCATATTGGTACCTTCATGGTACCATTATGGTACCAATATGCACCCTTTAGGTGCAAAAGTGTACCTTTTGAAAAGGTACCGCCCCAGTGACAGCTTTTGTACCTTTTTTTTCTGACAGTGAACACTGACATCAGGTCAGCAAAACACTAGATTTGACCTGATTTTAAACTGCACAACCTTGCACCAAAGTTTATTTGCGTGTGTGTTTTGGATGAAACTTGTGTTGCTGAGTGTTTGTCGTAGCTATAACAGGATAGAACAACCCGACAATATTTTCTCGTGTGCCCTGAATTTTGATCGTGGTCATCGGTCACCCTAGACAGGAAACCTAATGGCTGTGTCTCGAACCGTAGTGATCTGACTCTCTGTCTAATGCCTACATTGGCAGCGGTCCACAAACTGCATCCTAATGGAAATGGAGACTGATTGTGTCTGATTTAAGATGCACTTTATAGACAGCAGCTTCAGTAACGCTCACTCATGCAAGGGCCTCTTAAAATAAAAGGTTCTATATAGAACCAGAGGGTTCTAAAAGACTCTTTATGCCAAAATGATTCTATTTAAGAATGTCTAACTGCCATGTTTGACCCTTTGAAGTCCGCACCAAATTTTTTTAATCTCCTTATGTCGCTAGTAACCATATTCAATGTATTTTTTTCAACACATCCCATAATTTTTTAAATATCAGCCTCTACCAAAGTGTTGAGATGTCGCTTAAAGCTACACTGTTAAGTTTATTCCTAGCTAAAAACACTTAGTTCTTTCAAAAATATATGTGCTCATTAATGTATATTTACTTCGCTCAAGTAATAAAGTATTCTTGTGAGTGTATAATATGCCATTGAAGGGGATCTAATGTCGGTCGCCATGTTACCTCTCCATCTTGAAAGTACATTAGCCAAAGAGGGACATACCCGTTAATTCAAGCTTCGCATTTCGCGTTTACGTTTGAGTTAACACTCGTGGACGAGGTCGAACTGGAAGCCATGTTAATCTTGGACTACATTGACCACCGTAGGAGTTGAAACGAAATCGGAATTGAGAGGAACAGAAACTAATATTGACTGGATGGTCATATACCTTTTCACCACTAGATGGGGGTAAAAATCAGTGTAGCTTTAATGGTAAAAAAATGGTACCGGAATTCAAACACTGTAAAAAAATATTGTTGGTTTAACTTAAAAAAGTAAGTAACCTGGTTGCCTTAAAATTTTAAGTTCATTGAACTGGAAAAAGTGAGTTAATACAATGAAGGAGATTGATTTAATCATCAGAAACTCAAAATTATATGTTATCTGAACTAAATAAATTATTTAAGTTGATTTGACAAAAGAAAAAAATGTTGTGATTACTACACTGTAAAAAAATATTGTTGGTTTAACTTAAAAAAGTAAGTAACCTGGGTTGCCTTCAAATTTTAAGTTCATTGAACTTGAAAAAGTGAGTTAATACAATGAAGGAGATTAATTTAATCATCAGAAATTTAAAATAGTAAGTTATCTCAACTAAATAAATTATTATAAAGTTGATTTGACAAAAGTTGTGATAACAAATCTTGAAAATATTTTTTACAGTGTACACATGCCATACTTTTTCATTCCCCATTATAATTTATGACAAAACACATTGTCAGAAAGAGTCTCAAGGCTCCATATTTTGTGACAGAAGTGCTATTTGGACAGAAATGTATTAATTTGTTACAGCAGAAGGCATACAATTAAATTCAATGTAATTTATGTCATTTTTGGTATTACGCCTAAACAAAATCTCATGAGAACTTCAATTTTTGTGATATCAACTTCAAATTTGGATAGACATATGGCTTTGATTTTATAGTAAAAAATATATATTTTATACATATTAAGTACAGTATTTCTGATTTAAATGTAAATCTAAAACTTTCATAACTTTTTCACACTTTGAAGTGCTTTTACTTCAGTAATAATCTGCTGAGTGTTCTCTTTAAAACAAAACTAAACTTAGGTCTTTATTCCAAAGCATACTTGAATTACAACCAAGTTTTAATAGTGCATTGTAATCTCCATTCTGCTATAGTTTAAAAAAAATTACTGTACTGGTCTCCCCTTAAAGAGCATCTTGGAACATGAATGGCAAACAATAACATGTAATAATATGGACTAAGTTAATTTAGGCTATGGACTG